ACAAACGCTTTGCCCGATAATAGCGTCGGTAAACGCTTCAACATTTCATCCTCTTTCCAACCATTTGCCGTCGAACACAGCTCGAACTTTCGTAACCAGAGTCCAAAATCACCGTCTGAAAATGTTTCAGGAACAGATAACAAATTTGCTCTTGTTGTCGCTGTTGATGTAATCATCCTGGTCACGGCACCAATGTAATATATCACGACACGCAAGCAGTATAAACAAATCACTTTATTAAATCCTATTCTAGTTCCCTACATTCAATGCACTATATTCTTGTCCCGTATATTGTCTAGCAATCCAGTTTGTTATTGTCATCCGATATCCTTACTTGACCCTTGCACGCGACCTTTATTAATAATTAGACACCTTCGTATACTACACTACTCACGAAGTTATTTAGCCGTTCAGTGATTTCTGGCCAAAAAAATTGTTCGACCGTTCTGTCATTCCTTAAGCCATAATCGTCAGTTTTTACCCAGGGACGAATTTCCATAATTTTGGTCAAAGGATTTTATGGTGAAACATCACGTCGCAGACATTCGACGAATTTCTTGCAAGAGATGTCTCTACGAGTACTCAAATACTGTAAGTTTGAAATTTCCAGGGCTTCATCATATAACAGATCTGGATAAGCTATTCTCAACGCTCTGAACAGATTCGAGAATGTCAGATAATGATTTAGGTATTGACGACCACACAGGGGATGCATATTCAATTCTGGATCTAATGAATGAGATATATATTTGTACAATGTGTGATGTTTGAAGACCAGCTTTTTTTAACAGACGCAATGCGTATAAGCGAGAATTTGCCTTTTTCAATACCATGTCAACATGAGTATTCCATGACAAGTCGTTTGATATCCATACACCTAGGAGCTTGAAAGAGGACACAGTTTCCACCGGTTTACCTGCAACATAGATCAAGTTTTCATCATCAGATCCTTTATATTTAAGAAAGTTGATCAACATCTGTTTGCATTTCTTATAATTTAGTTCCATTCCGCGTTCTGAAGCGTAGTCCGAGATTTCATTTACGACAAATGGCATTAAACTGGGTGAAAAACGTGGTATAATCTCTAAGGCCGAGGTGTCATCCACAACCTTGATCCTACTAGGCCAGTTTTTGAGTAAGGAATTAATGAGAACTGCAAACAATAATGGACCCAACTTTGTACCTTGTGGCAAGCCACCATTTGTTTTCTTCCAAGAGGACATAGAAGTTCCCACCCGGACACATTGTTCGCGATCGCAGAGGAAGGCTTCAATCCACCGAATTATAGAGGGATGGGTACCAAGCAGGGTTAACTCTTTAATAATAACATTGTGATCTACTAGATCAAAACCTTTCTTAAAATCTGCAAAGAACAATCTAGCAATACAGGAACCTCTCTCAAGAGCAACCAAGATTGAATGTAAAAGGTACACCAAAGCGTCGGTTGTTGATTTCTTCTGGAGTGCAAATTGTTTAGTGTCAAGTTTATTTACAACTTCAGGAAAAAATTTGTCCAAAGTACAATCCTCCATAACTTTGGCGATCTGAGATGTTAAAGATATTGGTCGTAGGTCGTCTTCAATACTCTTTGGGGGTGATACCTTAGGGACAGGCACTACAATAGATCTCTTCAATGCCTTTGGGAAGGTGCTTGTGTCATGGATGAGTTGAAAATGTCCGAGATAACTGGGGCAAGCTCAAAGGCAAATGTTTTCAGGATTTTATTTGGAAACATTTCAGGACCCGGTGATTTTGTGGTTTTAATTTTACGAAATTTCCTATAGATCTGTTGGGCGTCGACGAGGTAATCATTTGGTACTTCTAGGTCCTCCTGGTTTCCGTTCTAGAGTTAGAGGGTCGAAATGTGATGTAAGGGCAGTAAGAAAGTTATTAAAATTTTCGGCCAATTCTTCACAATTCCGAACATCATCAGAAAATAACTGAGAATACCAAGAATTTTTTGACGAAGGACCACCAATGGCTTTCACTTTTTTCCACCATCTTGCCGGGTTAGAATTTTTCAATTTCTCGATTGACCTCATATAGTAAATCTTACAGATGCGTTATCTAAGATAACCGAGACAGAGCGGGGTAGCTTCTTTGGTCTTACTTATAACCACAGTGACTCAATCGAAGAGTTTTCAAATTCCTCAATTCGTCTACAATAAATATTGCTATTTATGTAGGCGTAAACACCTCCGCCGTTTGAAACCAGTCTATCGTTCCTAAAAAGATTGAAATTGGATAAGGATACCAAATTGTCAAGAATTGCAGGGGATAACCAAGTCTCTGTAATGCAGACCATGTCCGTTTGATTAAAAGACGCCACAGCGTCAAGTTCGTCGATCTTGGACGTGAGGGATCGGAGATTACAAATTAAAAGGTTTGGTAGTTTGGTGGAGGGTAACGTAGATACAAATTTTATGCGTTCAAGTGTGTTAATTTTTGGACTGAATAAGAGTATCGTGATGGGGTCGATTCCGGTAGATCGCTGATCGGGGAAAGCATAGGAATACGTGTGGAAAAGGACGCAAGGGAAATACATGGAGTGGAGCTCTGTTTAGAAGGATTTAGTAAAATCTGTTCCGGTGGATCTGGGAGGATAATCGGGGAAAACTGGACGATGGTAGTGGGATTTCTAATAACGGCCTTGGATAAGATAGGGGTCGCCATGGGTGTAGGCTGTACGTTTGGAGCTGCGGAGGTTGGGCTGTGTAAACGTTTGTTGGCAATGGTACTTGCGCTCGGGATAAAAAAGAGGCAGGTGGCAAATGGCTACTAGTAGTGGTTCTTAATACCGACCTTCTGGTTGGGACCCAAGCGTGGGAGAAATCGCATCGATCGTCTTTCAGACAGAATCCTCTGTTCTGCAGGAAAGGACAGGGGACATTATGTTTATGTGTATCGCGAGATGGTTTAAGATGTTGAAAGTCGCATCGGTCTCCCTTTCGACACCAACCTCTACGCAAAAGAAATGGACAAGGAGTGGAATTCTTTGGGGGGCGGTCGTAACGATTCTTATTTGTCTGCTGGGTTCGCGGTTGTGAGGTCAAATTTCCATAAGTAGGTACACTAACTTCTGAATTGAACTGCATATTAGGCACATTACTTTCCGGTAGTTGGTCTTCGTTGGCCTTTTTCTTAGTGCTTATGGGAACGTACTGCGTTGTAGGTGTGATAGACGATATTTCAATAGCACCAGGGGATTTTTCTATGGAGGCCGAGGCCATATTTCCTTCTAATTTGGAGATACGTGATTTGAGATGCAAATTTTCTTCACGCAATTTGCATATGTCTTGTTTATTTGTATTGATAGTTTCGTCTTGCTTAGTGAGTTTAGCCAATAAGTTTGATATTTCATATTCAAACTTCTCTTAAAATTGTCAAATAATGCTTTAATTGTAGTGGTGTTGTCGCCCTCACGTTGTTTAAAGGGTGTAGAATTTACAAATACTTGATCCACAGTACCCTTCGTTACTTCACTGTGTCGGGAGTTCATAATATTACAAAATGAATCGTCAATAAAATTCTCAAGCTCCGCAAGCGACGAATTATCAATAGGTGATATTACATCTATCTTGGCGACAGCAATCTCGGCTCCACAATCATTATTCTCGGTTGTTAGGTTGCTTACTTCGCTTCTATCACCGGTGCAAGTTGTTGTTACTGAGACTTCGGCAGATTGTATGCCTGTATCACTCTGATGGGGCAACATAAGTTCACTATTTAGGCTTACCAGTAATTCCTTTAAAGACTCCCCTTCTCTACCTTGGACAACTACTGTTCGTTGTTTGCCGCGATACCAAGTTATTGTCAGATCTGTGCTGCTTATAAACTTCTTAGAGTTCCCGCCAGGTGAAATCCATTTACCGCTCAAACCAACGGTATTTTGAATAAAAGTCTCCAGTTCATCATAGTTGAAGTTCCACTTTAAACGTTTCCCATCATAGACAAGAGTGTTGCTGTTTTTATACGTTCGAATATCGTCTAAATTCACATTTCCAACATTAAATTTAGTATTGGGAATGTCTATAGAGCTAACCTTAGCATGACCGTCCGCCTTGATGAATTATGCTGCAATTATTTGGATTTTGTGATTACGAACGGTTGGTTACAGTCCCTTTACAAAGGGATAAACTTGACTTGCAGAATGGTGACAGCGCCAAGACCTGTTATCATACAATCGACGTGGTTGGAAGTGAAGGCAAAGTGTTTACACGATATTGTGTCATCTACAATCAAACACAAAATTTCAGATAAATTAGTCATCAATGTCGATCAAACTCCATCTAAATATGTACCGACTGAAAACGTCGCGATGGCTGAAAAGAATTCCAAGCATATCCCAAGAAAAGGGAGCAATGACAAACGTGCTATAACTGCCACTTTAGCAAAAACACTAAGTGAAGCTACTGTATCTTGCCATTCCAACTGATTTACCAGGGAAAGACTGATCAGGGAAAGATTGATTTAGGGAAAGACTGATTTACCTTAGATCACTAAGAGCAGTCAAATTTCCTGCAGGTTTCTTTTTAAGTTACAATACTAAACACTGGATGCGTTTGTTAAATGACATCATTGCTCCCTACATCATCAAAGTTAAAGAAGGGTTAGGTCTACCCGAAAATCAAAGCACATTGCTGCATGTAATGGATGCGTTCAAGGCACAATCATCCGAAAAAGTCATTCGTGAACTAGAAAATCTTGCTATCAAACATATGACACATATTTTGCAGCCATTATACCTAACTACAAATGCATCTGTGAAGAAAATGGAAAAGCGTGGTTTTAGTGACTACTTCCCATCAACCATCACTGAAGCAATGCTGTAAAACCCACAAAGAGATGTTAATACGATAGAGGTTGACCTGAAATTGTCAACATTGAAGCCCAATGCATGGAAAGCTGATGATAACCGTGTACGATTTCCTTCGCCAAGAACAAGGAAAGCAGATAATCCTGAACGGATGGAGAACTTCTGGCATTACAGAGGCAATAAAAGAAGCTCGAAGTACGGGTGTTGCACCATCTTTAGACCCGTTTGCTTAATGGAATGCTAAGCTGTATGTACTTTAATATATACATTTGCCTACATTACAATATTGCCTAAACTACTATTTTGATCTATACCACTGTCCCCACGGGCACGGTAGTTTCTTCGTTTAATTTTTAAATTTACTGTTTTAATTGGTAGTGTGTTTAACATTAAACCTTTGTTGTTGTTGGATCTATATTTTCCGATTTGCGTTAATTTAATTAATTTGTCAACCATGGAGATCAGATTCGTGTTAATATAATCATGTTTTATAAGACATAGGTGAGCAATCCGCGTTAATTTGATGTCGCGTTAATTTATGTCGCGTTAATATAGTGTATCACTAATTTCCTATAATAAGGTATGCAGATTATTTGTAATGATATGGATGAAAATCAAATTATTGCTCGCCTCTGCAAATTCCATTCTCGGGCCGGTATTATACAGGTGCAAGTCATAGTCATATGCATGCATGTACATAGCGGTAAATTGCGTGCATTTCCAACCAAAACGAAAATAACTGAAACACAACTGCGTTTCATTTTAGAGTTGTTTAAGTGCAAAAATATCCTATTGACAGATATTTTAAGGCAAATTGTATTATTGCCAGCTAGTCTACAAATAGTACACCGTTATTGTGACTTTGTCTTTGGGACTTTAAATATTATGTATATATATTATTATTACCTATATGCGCAATCCAATGGCACGGTATAATTATAGCCAGTAAAGCAATACATATTGCTCTATTCATATAAAGAATATTGCGGATTTACGATATGTATGAATTCCCTTGGCCATGTGATCTGATTACTGATCGAGGTCTGCAAAACATCAAGTAATAAACTGTATACATCAAGTCATTAACTCGCACTTCTTTCTATATCTGAGAATTAGATCGTTGGGAACCCATTTTCTCTTCGAATCTTGCCACGAGAAATATTTGCGTATATGAGTACATCTATTCATACAATCGATCGAGCTACAAGTTTGAAAGACTCGCATTAACATTTTACTTTATAACTTTATTGGGAATATTAACAATAACGATAAATAGGTATCTCCCTTATAAACTTAACTTTACAATTAAATTTACATTACACTGATAAATTATAGTTGAGGTAAAGCTCGATTTATGCATACCCACAAAAGGTCTACTCTGGGGCGGTAAATCGCCTTAAATCGCTGCGATATAATGCGATTTTGGGCGATTTTAGGCGATTTAAGGAAAAACTGGGACTTTCAAGCACTGCGATTTTAGGCGATTTAAGGCGATATAAGAAAAAAATTTAAGTTTTAGGGATTGCAATTTAGGTGTTTTCAAAGGAATTGAATTTTATATTTTGCTCCGGTTTCCTCCCACAGGGCAAAATTGGCAGGGTGGGTTAGGATAAACACAGTTAGGAAAGTAATGTCATACCTCATTGTTGTAAAGATAAATAGTCTAGGCTAACATAAGTAATCATAGTACTTGATGTAATCGGTCACTGAAAAGTCCCAATGTGGGGAGTGAGCTGAATAATAATGTAATGTTTCCACACACATATATGCATTGTATGAGGCAAAATACAATTATTAGAACATGTATGTACATTTTATATAAAGCTAGGTTAACTAATTATTGTATTTAACCTGATTCACATATAAAGCTCAATATTCATGAACTTTTCACCCATTCTCTATTTAGAAGCTATTGGGGTTCATCTTGTGGGGTCATGTGGTCATTCATGGCTACATTATATACCACAATTATTGTAAACAGTTAATATACTCTACTTAAGGGGCATGCACTACACATGTCTTAAACTTTAATATTATTAATTTATGTCGAGTTAAAATTGCAAAATATAATAAATATTTGATTTCCAAAATAAGCTATAATCCTATAAATTACCTTGTCACCCTTGTAAGTAAAATTGTCTTGTTTTGTATCATGTCAAAACTTCTTTATTTAGCTTGCATTTTATTTAAACTGTTTCAATCTCGTGCTTTCTTCATGCTACAAACATATTTATAAAGCATTCGGAAACTGTCGGCGTAATGCCGTAATGTTTAAATTACATGAAGTATATCGTATATAAATGGTAGGAATTCTAAATTACTAGTTAAAATTAAAAAATAATAATACAGTGTTATAAAACAAATGGCGCACTACATCGTGGTTTTAGGTTCTGCAAACAAACAACAACAAAAGATCTATTGTATGGTATGTAAGATGTAATCATTGTTTTACTGTTTATTGTATATACAGGTCTGGAAAATTTAATAGACGAGAGTTGCAAATCGCTCATAACCTCACGTATATTTTTCGTTTGATAGCCACTATAATTATAACTAGGAGCTAGAGTATAACCATACATATGTCGATTGAAGTACAACCATTGCATACAATGGCAGTGCTCGATCTTGCATGCAACAGTGCACAAATTACAAGATGACTTTATTATATAAATCAACACTCGTACTCATTGACTTTCGTAGTCTCCTACTGTTGTTCTAAATAACAGCAATTAGGCTTTAAGAAGCCATGTAGATTATAGATTAATTTGTAGCCCAGCCTCCATAATCCATATAAATTGTAGCCCAGCCTCCATTTACACCAATAATGAAATTAGCTCATTCTGGTAACTAGCTCAATTTTGTTGCTGGTAGTGTATGGAATCTATGGGTCTTTTAGATCCCAGAATTACCTAATTATTGTAAAGTCTGCATAAAGCAGAAAAAGGCTCTGTTTTTGTCAATGACCGGTGCCTATTGGGTGACTAAATATTGTCAGCCTAATCCACTTATTTGATTGCTAATTCATGTTACATTACTTTTGATTGCAAAGCAGCTGGATTACATGATTTTCCCGTAAAATAGCAGCAATTGACAAGCTTGAGTACATGGACTGAATGTATCAAGCAGAATGCATGTTGGCGATTTTAAGCGATCTTAAGCGATTTTAGGCGATTTAAGAGAAATTCGACAATTTTAACCCGCGATTTAATGCGATTTTAGGCGATTTAGGGCCATTTTAGGCGATTTAGGGCGATTTACCGCCCCAGAGTAGGCCTCACAAGCTAATCTCCCAAATACGTAAAACGTAGATTTTGGAAAAATTGTACAGAAAATAAAACTTGGTTTTGAAAACATGTGACTTGGGCATGTACGCGAAACGAACTTTACTTCAATCAAAGAACTATACATTATTTTAATTTCTGTGACATGGGCAGTCCCGAACAAGAGACCAGGTACATGGCATGTCTACTTCAAAAACCGAATTACATAAAAACGAATAAGTCTGACGAAGAAAGTTCTTAAAAGTAAATAATGTCACGAGGCTATTAGGTGACGCATGCACTTCTATACACTGCGTTCCATAAATGAACTGTTCGATTAAAGTAAGAGTTTTTAAATGTAGTTGTTCTACATAACGGCATTTGAAGTAATAGGCTAGGATTTATAAGGTTAGTCGAGAACGATCATGACTAATAAAACTAACATAATTGCTTATGTCTAAGTCTACCTAACCGTATAGAGCCTTATAAAAGAAGACCAAGTCTTGAATTTCTTTGTCATACAGGGCATTTCTTAAGAATTCGTCAGTGGGGGGGGGGGCATCTACAAAAAGGGACCATACTATACCAAGTGTGGAGAAATGATAGGCGTGGTATCGCATTTAATAGTGGGGGGGGGGGGGTATTCTCCCCCAGAAAATTTTGTATTTTTCTACCCCTATGACTGCAATTCCTGCATTTTCTAGCTGAAACAGATTTTTGGATATACAGCATTGCATAATGCTGTAGATAGACTGAACCTTCAGTGAAGTACTTGCATGGTATGTTTATGTAGATACCACAACTTGGTCACTCAGGGAGCCAGCTTGATAAACTTAGAGGACTCAACTCCCACGAAGCGCCACCATGGTTGGCACAGAGCGGGGAAATTTTGAAAATTTTGTGTCTCTAAATCGTCGGAAATGGCATTTTCACAGTCTTCTCTACCTCTTTTGTTAGGCCCTTTCATTGATTATTTCATTATGATTTGTGAGTCTATCAGTATCCGTGAGTCAGGATGGATTATTACGAGAAATGTTGTCAGTATCAAAATATCGATTACAAGCAGATATTTGATTATATATATATATATATATATATATATATATATATATATATATATATATATATATATATATATATATATATATATATATATATATACGATTTCAAATACTTCTAGTTACGAAATCAATTGGTTTTTTTTTTGTGGGGGGGCCAAAATTATCCCCTCTTATAAAACACTGGTTTGGGGGCCCGTTTCCCCCTGCCTCCTACGCCCCCTGCGGTCACTAACTTGTTTAGCCGAGCCTTTCAACAACTCAAATCTATAGGGTCTGGGAAATGCAATCCACTGGAAAATGTTTAAAATCTAATAAGGTATTTACAACACGATGTTTAGCATTAATGTTAAAAGACAGGACATAAGATTCACAAAGCAAATTTCAGTTACTAGAATATCAAACCTCCCTTCTAAATTCCATGTTTTGCCATACCTAATTTTAAGAATTTTTTATCACTGCACATTTTTGCGCAAAGTTTAGCTAAGCAGAAGCACGCCCTGAAAATTTCTGAACACACCTTTATAATAATGTGTATCCACAAAACAGGCTACAATTGATATTCAAAAATGTCAAAACGAACATACACTGCACAGCACCCAGGGAAATTTGGGTACCCAGGGCCAAATTTGACTTGGGGCCCCTGGTGATTCCATCTTCTAACACTATGATCAGGGATCCGGGGCCATTTCCCCCGGGAAAATTTTTAATTCTGAGGTCTCATAAATGGCCAAATCCTGCATTCTGGAAGTCTGTTGACAATTATATCTATATATATTTTACTGTAATTCTTTATTTGGGCCCGCTTTAACTGAGGCCCCAGGAAAAATTGCCGCCTCCATCCCTATGGGCGGCCTTAACAGCACCTACAGTTACAACTATCTATGACAGCATAATTTCATAATCACTTGCTTTCAGGAAAGAAATATTTTCGAATTGCCAAATGAAAGGCAGCTTAGGAGAGACAATCCTCTAGAGGAGTTCCAGGGTCATACACCCACAGAATATTTTGAATTTAGGCTTTCTTAAAGGGAATTTTATGCAATGCGCGGAGACATTCTATAGAATTCTGAAGATTACACACTAATTACAAAAAGATAAGTATCATTCACTTCATCATTCAAGCTCATAAAGAGATCTTTGGTCAGAGACTTTGTTCATCTGATGAACCTAAAGTATAATATTAGTGCGGACGTTTCTGTTATTAATCAAAATGCTTTGATTAATACTGTCAAGTGTGAAGACGAATTTTTAGTTCAGTACTTCTGCTCATTGCCTCATTTTCTTGTTAATTAACTTATCACAGCAAATTTTATAACTGCACATTTTACATTTTATCACTGCACATTTCAGTTTTATCACTGCACAAATTGGTGATCACTGCACACTAAAATTAGGTATGTGTTTTGCTTATATTTTAGAGAAAATGGACTTTGACTGGGGGGCCAAAATGGTTGAGTGGGGGGCCGCCATGGGTGTTGGGGGGGGGGGGGCTTGCCCCCCCCCCCAGTTATATAGTTAGAAAATGCCCTGCTGTCATAACACAGCGGCAGCATAAAATCTCTCCTGGTAAGATATCTCACCTATTCTTGATCTTAGGATCCATCTTGTCGCGCGTCGTTGTATTCTTTCGATCTTGACTTTGAGGGAGACATTGGATGGAGACCAAATTTCAGTACCATAGCATAACTTCGACTTTACAAGCGATAGGTATAATGAACGCCGGATTTTGATATCCGTCAATAAAGGACAAGTTCTCTTTAGGAGACCAAGCATCTTGTTAGCTTTAGCTGTTATCATTTGAATATGAGTGTCCCACAAGAGATTGTCTGTTACGATGACGCCGAGATCTTTTTCCTTCCGAACGCGAAGCAACGAGGATGAGCCCAGATGACAGCCGTAAGTCACGGGATTTTTCTTTCAAGTCACGCTCAAAACCTTACATTTCGATGCGTTGAACTTAATGTTATTATCATGGCTCCACGTGTCCAGGTTTGATAAGGATTCTTGTAGACAATCACCGTCAGTCGTAGAGTTGATGTTTCTAAACAACTTTGTATCATCAGCGTACATAGCTTCCGAAGAGCCATTGGATATTGCAAAAAGTATCGGACCCAAGATACTTCCTTGTGGCACGCCGGAGATAACAGGAACCCAGCTTGATGGGACATCTTCGACAACAACTCTTTGGATACGTCCGCTTAAATAATCGCGAAACCAGTCGAGAAGACGCCATGTAACGCCATATGACTTGAGTTTTCTTAGAAGTATTTGATGATCTACAGAATCAAAAGCTTTGCCAAAGTCAAGGTAAATTATATCAGACTGAATGTTTTTGTCAAGACACTGACCAACAGAGTGAAGAACTTGGACAAGCTGAGTGATACACGAACGATTTCTAAGAAAACCGTGTTGTGATGGTGTGATGAGGTGGATGACGTGATCGTATGAATCTCCTGGAAACACAACGTTCTAAAACTTTGCTGATGATAGGCAGGAGGGAAATCGGCCTCTGTAATTTTCAACTGACTCTTTAATGTCTTTCTTGTGAATGGGTACGTGTAACATCAGCTGATTTCCACAGTGGCGTAGCTAGCGAAATTTGACTAGTCCTGCTCTAACACCCACCCATTCTAGGGGGGTCCAGGGGAATGCTCCCCCGGGAAATTTTGAATTTTAGAAATCTGGAATGGCCATTTCCTGCGATTTCACGGCGAAATACTCCAAAGGGAACATAAAAAATTGCGTGATTAGCGGAAAATTTTTGATAATTTTTTTTAGAAAAAAAATTAATTTGCAACTTTTTGAAACCAAGCATTTTTTTTATCATATTTCACTATATATTTTCAACTTAATTAACTGAAAATATAATGTAGGAGGCAAAGAGAAAATATCATGTATACAATACGCGTCTGTAATACGATCTTTCACTTGATCAACACATAATCCAACCTCACATAATATAGTCTATGAGGCCAAATATCTACATAAACAGTGTGAATTGGTACAGTATATCAATTTTAAAATTAAACTCAATATAAGTGCTCGTTTCAAATGCAGAAAGCAGGTGAACTGGCAGTAAATATTACGTTCTTACTTTATATTAATACGACGTACAGGCTTCACAAATGAAGTTTGTATTCCCCATTATATTGTATTATAAAAATACACAATCATCAGTCGAGTCTGTTCACATGCATTTCGTGAGCTAAAATATCTTAGCAGAAGGCAGAAATTATATCAAAATCACATTGGGCTTCCACACTCGTTGATTTCCATATTCATCACATGAGTAATCTCGACAGAATTAGTAAAAAGTGGGTTTAGTCACGCGGAAAGCTCGCAAGTAAAGACAATACAAGGCCAAGTCCTGCCATTTCGAGAGAGCAGGACTTCGCATTTGTAAACAGTCAGTTTGAGCATGCGCAGACCTAATTATCCAATCAGAAACCAAGATTTCTTGTATGAATTTACTATGAAATATACTAGCAAGTCCTGCCATTTGAAAATGGCAGGACTGAAATACGAGTCGCGTGTAAATCAATGTAGAGTTGCAGTTGCTAGGTAACAGACGGCGGCAAGCTATAAAATTGCGTAAATATAACAGAATGCGAAAAACTGTTTAAAAATTAATAACGAAAAAGACGAGAAAATGAGACAAAATGACAACTGATAATGATAAATTTTTAAAGTTTCAAGATAAATAAAGCAATGTTTTAGTAAGGAAATTTTTGGAAATTTTTAGTCCTGCTGGGCAGGACAAGCAGGACCGCTAGCTACGTCACTGGATTTCCATTGGGAGGGAAGGCGCCCAGTGCGTAGCGAATGATTGAACAGGTCACAAATGCTAGGTGCAATTTGGTAGCTACATTCCTTTAGAATTCTTGCTGGAATGCCACCTGGGCCGCTTGCCTTAGAGATGTCCAGATTATATATATCATATATTTGGGTATCGGAATCAAAAGAGTCTAAGTTATTGTCAATGTCAGTTGTGGATTTTGAGGGTAAACACAGATGAGAAGTATGAATTAAAAAGTTCAGCTTTCTCTGCAGGAGTTTTGGCTGTAATATCTTTGTAAGTATAACTACCGCGTTGTGTTGTTCCTTATAGTGTAGAATACCTTTATGGTAGCTCCAGAAAATCTTCGGGGTTTTGTTGAACGAACTTTCAACTCTTTCTACATATTCGCGATGTTTTTTTCTGATCAACTCTTGATGTTTTGACTTATACAACGTAACTTTTGCTTACGGATTATGGATCTATTCTGGCGGAATTTCTTGAGTGCAGCGTATTTCTTACGGACATGCTGACGAACTTCGCCGTCAATCCAATGGGGCCGGGGAATTTATATCTTTAATGGTTTTAACAGGGGCGAATTTATTCACAGCCGTCAAGAATAAGTCTTTCCAATCCGACCAGTATTGGACAATATCATCCGAGAAAGCGTTCTCAAACGGTACATTGGACAAGCAGCTACGCAAGCCTTCAAAGTTTGCCAGTTTGTAGTTGTAAATTCGACGTTTGACATTCCTAGCTCGTTTAAATTTAAGTTTGATCTGAAATTCGACGACATAATGATCGGTTGGAAATTTGCACTGTTCGGGAATAGATGTTTCAACATTAGTAATAACTTCAGGACGGTTAATACATGCATGTATCGATATTCAATTTATTCAGGATTTAGTCCCGTTCAGTCACAACCAATAACAACCAAATATTTTGCCTAAGGAAATTCAAAAGCGGCAACCAATAGGCAAGGATTCAGCGATTTTGCTTATGCTTACGTCTCGATAATGATATTAATAAAGCTATAAGTCTGGCGCTTTCGTCCTTAGATGCAGGTCAACTACTGAGAAGGTCTAAAAATCCTGTATGTTAATCCTATAGGAATTTCTCATGAAAATCCTATAGGAATTCCTATAGGATTATTATGAGGAATTCCTATAGGATTAACATACAGGATTTTTAGACCTTCGCAGTAGTTGACCTGCATTCAGATTCTATAGGAATTCGATCCTTTAAAGGGAAATGGCAATATATTTTTTATTTTCTCGTTTGAAAGAACATTTAAAACCATATATAAAACTCTTTTACCGTTTTTTGATATCTTGCTTACTTCTACAAATATTTTAATCGAAAGAAATGAAATGTCCACCATCTTGGATTTTTGTAGATATGCATGTTACATCACAACCAGGGTCATGCAATATTTTTATCTAGACAACCACTAATCATTTTGCACTCAAAATTTATACTGCGTATGCCCTTGGAAATATCAAAATTATTTGAAACCTTTAAAACATCTACCAATTAATATTTGGTCAGCAACGAATAGTTTTATATGGTTAATCCCTGTTGTGACGTCACCAAAACTACCGTTAATGAGATAAAAAATTATCCAAGATGGCTGACATCGCATTACTTCAAGTGAAAATATTTCAAGAACCAAGCAAGATATGAAGAATCGGTAAGAGAAGTTAATAAATAGTTTCAAAAGTTCTTTCAAATGAGAAAATAAAAAATATATTGCCAATTCCCTTTAAGATTTTATAGGAATAACTTTTGGATTCTATAGGAATTCTTTTAGGATTCTATAGGAATTCCTTTATGTTCTATCGGAATTATTTTACGATTCTATAAGAATTCATTTAGGAAATCCTATGGAAATTCCTCTAAGAATTCCTATTGGAAAAGTCCGAAAATCCCATACAATATCCTATCCGATTAATTCCCATACAAATTCTTAAAGAATTTTTCGTAAGGAGCTGATTGCTTGATTTTAGTCTCAGTCGTTTTTTGAGAAATCACATGCATAAGTTGCCCTATAATTGTTACAGATTTTTACACTGTTCTTATAGATTTTGCATTGCTGCTCAATTAAGAATAATATGAACCAATCATTGAGCGACATTCTATTTATATCTTTATTTATAACCAACAACTGGTCTGAATCAATAAGTAATAGGATATTGTTTGTGGGCGGCAATCATTAGAGGTGGTGTTTGCCGCTATAGAACTAATAATTTCAGTTAGCAGGAAGTTTGCTTGAAGATAGTAAAGGGGAATGGGACATTTGACAATCAGTTTGTATACAGCTATTTTAATTAAGGTTGTCCACGAGCAAAGCGAAAAAGTCGAATACGAGCGTGAAAGGTTGCTGGGAATCGCTATGAAAATTCATTAATTTTGTAGCAATTCCCAGAAGCCTTTCGCGCTCGTATTCGACTTTTCCGCTTTGCTCGTGGACAAGCTTAATTGAAATAGCTGTATATCACAAAACAACGTGCACGTAATCATTTTATGCAACTAATGATGACTAGTACATACTATAATATAGCATTTGTAAATTCTGAACGCTGATTGGCTAAGAGCCGTGTTGATATAACTCAATGTCAACACGGAAACGTGGAAAAATTTATTTCTTTATGTTTCTTTGTTCCATATTATAAAACAAATATAAGTCTTTTTTCCATATTGATATATAGTTATATCAACTCTCGTGGAAATTGGGAAACTGGAAATTGTGTGAAAACACTCCGCCCTTCGGGCGTCGGGTTTCACACAATTTCTCGTTTTCCCAATTTCCACTCGTTTTGATATAACTGTATATCAACATGGAAAATGTTTTATATTAATTTTGTTAAATATCAAAACTTGCAGAGTTGTCTAATATATCAAGCTACGAGTAACAGGTCTCACGGGGCACATTCAGTGTAAAATTGGAATACAACTAATGACGTCGCTCTTTCTTTCTTTCTTTCTTTCTTGGACATAAAAGTGCACACCACCGCATGGCTTCTTGGAGAAGGCGGTGTCTTGACGTATTATTTTAGGTTAAGTAATTCGATGTTATTAGCAACACCAATAGATCTTTTTTTAGTGCAACAGGCGAACTGATTGCTGGCTTTTCAAGTGTTTCTCTCAGCTTTTACATTTCTGCGCACGTATCATGTTGACAAGTTAATAGTTTGGAGGTTCAGCCAAAGTAATTTGCACTACGTTTGTTGCAAGATATAGTTTCTTCATTCTCAGCGAGTGTTTGTCTTTTCCCAAATCCGTAAAACCAAATGGTTCATCTCAATTTGTTCCCTATGTTTATAACTTGTGAATAATTTTCTACAGTTTTCGTGCACAATTTTTGAACTTTCTGTATGACGGTAAGGTTAGGTTATATTAAGTTATCGTGAGTTTTATTTCCTTTTCAATTTTATTTAAGACAAAGAAACTTCACTAGATCTGCATGATGGCAAAGTACACGAGCGCTGGTGTGTAGGGAGAAAGGGAGGGGGGGGGGAGATGTATCTCTGGAATACAAAGCGAATATCATGCCAATTCCTTCACGACAACAGAAATAGTCGATGTTTGTTTTTATAATAATAAACAAGTGGTCGTCATACATTAATAAGTAATTGAGGCGTTCTTCTATAAGGCAAACATTGGCGGCGTTATTTGTCA